AAATCATGATTTTGATTGAATATAATAATGAAAATTAAGAGTTATTTATGTCGCTAAATATTCTGTGCATGGTTGTTCAGTTAGTTTTAATGATCTATTGATGTCTGATCAATTGACCTATGTGATAGGTCTCGTAATTGTTTAATTTATATATATATATATTGAAAATAACGGTTGCACTGTGGCAGTCGGGATATGATCTTGTAACCTAAATTTATATTTTATTGTTTCTTCTAAGAGTAATAGAATAAAATAAAATAAAGTAAAAGGTTACCTTTTGATTATTTTGAGGGAATTGTGTTTTTGATTATCAACAATACTGAGTTTATGTGTAACATTATATATAATTCTATTAGGTCTCATACTTGCATGATATAATATTAGTGAATTAATGATGCTGCACTTAGACAGCCACTGGTGACTTTATCACACCCATATGATGGTGGGGTTGTTGTGCATAAAATATATATATATATATATATATATATATATATATATATATATATATATTATATTTAGAAATTTTGTTTAGAACAAAGCAGTTGGGAAGAGGTAGCCGATGTGCACAGAATGTCACCTGTCATTGTTATTGTGGTATTTGTTTTATTACCATGATATGTAGAGGTTCGGCAGCCGCTAGTACACCGGAGGACTTTCCATGTGATGGGTTATCCTATCCAAATACTAATTAATCAATTCTATTTTAAAAACTGAATGCCCAGAGGTTTTACGTAGTTTCAATTTATGATTAGTATATTTGGCGGCACAATTGAGAATTGTGTTTACAAAAGTTTGAAAAGGCAATTTTAATAATAATTATAAAAAAAAGGTAACTTTTGAACCTAGAGAATTAAGCACATACTTGGATATTTGGTTATTGTTGTGGTATGATTTTCTGTTGCATAATTGTAATTGAATTTATATATATATTGTCAAATGCATATGTTTATATGCATGGAATATCAAAGCTTGATTGCAAGTGCAGCTAAATAATTTCTCTCTCTCATGGTCCGGCTAATTTATTATTTAATTGCATGTGATGTAATTAATTAATTAGAGGTGGCGTTTTAAAGGGCTGTCCCAATGAAGGGTTGGTTTTCCTTAGCCGAATAAGATTTAATTATTTATTTATTTTATCTTGTTTAGAATTTTATGTAAGCCCTAAATTGGGTATAGGAGAAAATATTGTACTATTCTCTAATTTTGGGATTGAAGTTCTTGAAGAGTTCAAGAAAAAATTTAGACAAGATAAGAGTCAATGCTTCTAATGGAGGACTTTGAAAGCACAAGATGATATTTAACCGGTCATGAGAGGGGATTAGCACTATTTATGGTGCAACATGATTTTTATTTGCATGCTTATATTCATGTGATGGTTATATGCTTGAATGTCTTGCTTAAATCATGAATTGCTCTAGTTGTGTTTTAGTTAATTTTAAACGAAGTAAAATTGAAATTTTTTATCTGGGTTATTTTGGGAAAATTAGCACTTTTCAAAATATTTTTGAAAATTTGATTTTCTGAAAATTAAAAATTTTTATTTTTTAAATTTTGTGAAAAGTGTGGGATTATCCCATAGTTAAACTCAAGAAATTGAGCTAAGTTGACCCAAATGGATTAGGCTCATTGAGCCTAAAAGAAATTTTTAAATGGATTCCAATATTATTTAGATTAAAATTAATATTGTAATATGATGATATTATGCATAGGATGTATATAATTTAAAACTCTTTAATTTCAAAAGTTAAGTGGGGCGGGATTTAATCTTAAATTCCATAGCCTTCCATCGTCGATCTATTGTTAGGTGGAACAAGTACCTTGCCACCAATTTTGGGTGCTCCTCCGGAGGGTATTTGTTACACTAGTTACTAGATATAGATCTCGCATGATAGATGTGATACCCCTCGATTCTAGAGCCACGGGTGATCAAGTCCGAGCACAGATCCGAAAGATACCAAATAATTAATATTAAAATGAACATGGAATACAAACTGAAATACTAAATAAATAATAAAAGTTGAAAAAATATTTAAAATATAATCCTTAAAATTAAATGATTAAAATCTAATAATCCAAAACCTTCATAAATATCCTCCAATAACCTCCAATAATTTAACAACTCGAGAATCCATCTAATGACCCCTGATAAAATCCCAAACTCAAAAGTAAACAACTGACAATGAAATCCAAAACTAAACCATGAAGAGATATTCTACATCGTCGGGAGAGTGAGTGATTGTCTCTACTCAGCACGATCAAACTCTAAGCCTGGAACCATCGAACACCTGAAAATATGATAGTGGGTCAGGCCCACAAACAAGTTCTATATTACTACAATCCAAGCAGAGACCCGAAATGCATGTACATCCTAAACAACCCAACAATATCTATATAATCCATAAATATATATATATATATATCCACACTAAAGAATTCTCACTGGACTACAGGCCGGTCTCAACCTAAATAGAGTCAACATGCAAAACGCACCCGAAGTGGGCATGTATACCTAAGCCTAACAGCGTACACCTCAAACCATCATAGCCAGTTATGCATCTCACTGCATATACGCTCCCTAACCGTCGATTCTGAGACTCAAGCTCATATCGCGGTACCATATATATATATATATTTAAAATCCATTCAAAAACCAAAATATGTCATTCAATTGTTCATTGATCTGACACACGATATAAGTAGAATTTAATGTTATGATTAATCTATTCCCTTATTCCAGTATAGGTAGGAGTTAGCGTATTGATCTAATCCATACTTAATATGCCACCGTCCTATACCGGTGCATACAATCCATACATCCAACAATTGATAATACAGATAATAATTGTAAACATCAACTGATCCATAATAAGCACACTAGAAATATAAACTAACATACTTATTTGATACTACTCCGCAAAATCCAATAATTGACAATACAGACAATATATGTAAATATCAATTATTCCATAATAAGCATAACCAGAAATATGTAAACTTGCATGCTTATTTGATATCACTGAAACATAATTAAACTATAAAACCCTTCATAGAAAAATTGCTAAGATAAGGTTAAGCAATTTAAATCCTCCACATTCAATAACAGTATACCAATTTATTCAAGAATTATATACTGTTTAAGTTATAAACACTAAGTGGTTTATCATGCATTATCATACCCTTTGGAGCTTGAAAATGACATTAGACATCATTTAATTCCATACCTACAACTCCTAATTGCATCTAGAGTGACCAAAAACCAACCCAGAATCAAAATTTCGCCAGACCAACAACCAAAGGAGGAAGGAGCCGCATCCCCCTTGAGTGGAGCCGGCTCTCCCTCATGGAGAGCCACCTCCTTGCTAGTTGAGCCGGCTCCCCCCTGTGGGGAACCGCCTCTTTGAGAGGGGAGCCGCCTCCCCTCTACTGGGAGCTGGCTCTCCTCTTGATTTCCTCCTCTGTATCTTCTCCGGCGATTTCCCATTCCTTTGTCCTCCATTGCTAGAGTTCCTAGGGGTCTGAACTAGGTCCCAGACTATTCCAGAAATATATTTAAATCCACTATGCATTGATTAAACTAATTACAGCAAGAATTTACAAAGAAACTTAAAATCAAGCAATACTAATTTGTTTAAACACATATTGTTTTAATAAAATCTAACATGCATAAAAGATTAATTTTTACGCTTATTTACTCCTGGAATTGCTTTAGGAATGCAAAGAACACAGGTCAAAGGGAGGGAGATAAATATAAAACTTGCCTTTAGGTTTCAGTTCGAAACCTTTCATCGTCGTCTCTGAGTTTCTGGCAAATTCCTAGACTGCTGACTATCGTAAAACCTCCTATTGCTCTAGTTCAATCCCACAAGCAATCCCTTCCTTCCTCCTTGGTCCGACCTTTAATCCACGGCTGAAAACCTAACTAGTCTCTCTGTTTACTCTCAAATCTCTCTCTGTTCATGAATAGGGTTTTCAACCATAGACAGACGTATACTGTTGTATTTATAGCCCAAATTACTTTAACCTAATTCTTATTATACTAAGAGAAGGAAAAGAAAAGAAAACCAATTGAATTAACAAAGTCGGCTATCCCGTGAAACCTATAAAACCCTAGAATTATAATGAATAAAAAAACTAGTTAAATCCAATAAAACAATTATTTCATTTTCCACATAAACATATAATAAAGAAAACAAACAATTAAATTAATCCATTAAACAATTAAAACAAATAAGTCAATTAAATAAAATAATTAATACAAATAACTCAATTAATTAACAACAAATAAAACAATTAGACTAATAGCCAAATAAACACATAAAGAATGTAAAATTGCAATAAAACCATAAAAGAAAAATACCGAGACTATCATTTTAAAATTAGGGGTATTACAATAGAACTAGCGGCAGGCGAATGGGGATGATCACCATTAGGAGACAAACCTCATTCAATTGCATTACTTCTGCACAATGGTATACACTTGACTAAGTGGGAGTACGCTCCACCTCAGGGAATATTTTCATTTAGAGGCCAAGGATAAATCGGTTGCCATATTTCATTTGGCATGAGATGTCTAGATAGTGGGATATGGTGGAAATTGTTTTTGTCTAATCAAGGTAGTGACATAATCTTTTGGTAGTGGCATGTTCTTATTGCCCCTTGAGATAAATGAGTGAATACTTACAGGGATTATGATTACCGAAGTTTTCATTTTATCAGTGGTTTAAAGAGACCCATGGAGAGGCTATACAAAAACTAAAGTTCATTTTTGTTTATGTATGTATGCCATTTTATTTATGCGTGAATGTTTGTATATATTTCAGATGTCAAATGTTTTCAGTCCACTTGCTGCTATACTTAAAAATAACAAATTAACTGGGCCAAACTATGTTGACTGGAAGAGAAATCTTCATATTGTACTTAAGAGTGCCCTCCTTTGCCTGACCCTGATGACAGCCAGGAGCTAAAGGAAATGTACGAGAAGTGGCAAAAAGGCTGATGAAATGGCCAAGTGCTATATTTTAGCTTCAATGTCAAACGTTTTACAACATCAGCATCAGTCTTTTGTCACTGCTCGTGACATTTTGTTGAACCTTAAGGAAATGTTTGGGGAACAAAGTAGAGCGGCACGACAAGTCGTAATGAAACAGATTATGAATGCTCGTATGGCCGAAGGAACTCCAGTTAGCAAACACCTTTTAAAACTGAATTCTTATTTCAATAAACTGGAGGTTCTTAGGGCAGACATAGATGGTGAGATCCAGGTTAATATAATTCTGCAATCATTGCCAGAGTCATTCAATCAGTTCGAACTAAATTATTCTATGAATAGTATGGCTTATGCTTTATCAGAACTGATGAATGCTCTGCAAGCTGCAGAAGGAATTTTTAAGGGTCAAGGGAGTTTTCATATAGTGGAAAAGGGTTTTTCTTCTCATAGAAAGCTGAAAGGCAAGAACCATAATAAGAAGCAAGATTCCACTGTCCCTAAAAAGGTTGGTACTAGTGTTGGAATTGTCAAGGCTAAGGGTAAGGCTAAAATCAAAGGAAATTGTTTCCATTGTGGTAAGGAAGGGCACTAGAAAAGGAATTGTTGCGTGTATCCAACAAAGAAACACTCTGAAGGTATGCTCCAGTCACTCATTATTAAGATATGATATGTGGTTGAATCTACAGATACCTGGTTTGTAGATTCTGGAGCCACTAACTATGTTTGCAATTTGTTACAGGGTTCCAGAAAACCAGAAGATTGAATGAAGGGGAGATATTTATCTTCATCTTGCTTCACAAGCAAGGGTAACAGCAGTATCAGTAGGAGTAGTTATTTTGAAATAAATGATAGGAGTTCATTATTAAAGATTATCTTTATGTATTAGAGAGTATAAAATACTTGATTACTATTTCAGTTTTTTCAAAATCTGGGTTTTCAATATTTTTATTTAGAAGTTTTAATAAATAAAAATAAAAGATTTATTTATTCTGGTACATTGATGGATGATCTTTATTTAGTTACTCCTACACCTCACTCCTTGTATGATACTAAAATAATTGCTGTGTTGTCTTACCATTAAAAGAAAAGATTCCTTCGAATAACTCTATATGTTTTAGCATATGTGGTTAGGTCATATTAATCTAAATAAGATTCAATAACTAGGCTGGGCCTTTGGCCTCTTTAGTGGTTAAACTACTTCTAGTTTGTGAATCCTACTTAGAGGGTAAAATGACCAATAGGCCTTTTAAGGCTAAGGGGCATAAAATCAAAAGAGGTAGTAGAGTTGGTGCATATAGATGTATGTGGTCCTATAAATGGGATCATATCCTGAATTTTTGCACCAGGCACACCGTAACAAAATGGTGTTGCGAAAAGAAGTAATAGAACCTTACTCGATATGGTAAGATCAATGATCAGTTATTCAATATTCTTTTGGGAACACGCTCTCAAGATGATTTTTATTCTGAACTCAGCTCCATCTAAAGTAGTTCCAAAGACTCCCAAGGCATTGTATACTAGGTGTAAGCTTAATTTACAAAATTTAGGTAAGTGGAAGTGTCCTGCACTTGTGTGGAAGGGAAAGCTTGAGAAGATGGGACTGAGAATAGATGTTTGTCTATTTGTGGCTATCAAAATGGTATAAAAGGATTATTCATTTTATGATCCTAAGGATAAAAAAGTGTTCATTAGCACGAATGCTACTTTTCTCGAGGAGGATTATATAATGAATCACCATCCTCGAAGCATGGTTGTTTTAAAGGAGATGATAGATACACCAATCAATCCAAGAGTGGATATGACAATAAAGGATGATGAGATATCATAAACTACAAGTCCAAAATCTCTTATTATATCAGACCCTTAATGTATTAGAAGGGTTATTAGGCCATCTAATAGGTTAATGCTTTTGGGAAAGTCTGACGAGGCGATCCCAGAAGAGCAAGATCCCTCTATACTTATGAAAAGGTTATAAATGATTGTAACTCGGAACATTCGTTTTGATCGTGATCAAATTATTTAAACATGATTAGAATATGAATGGGCCTTGTGTATACAAGAAGAGTAATGGTAGTATGGTGGTGTTTTAAAAAGATAGTTCAGCATGGGGATATTGTTGTCATTAAGATTGCATCTGCAAATAACCTTGCAGATCCTTTCACTAAGACTCTACTTACTAGAGTTTTTAAGTCTCATATTGAAGGGATGGGTGTTAGATGTAATGGTAATTGGCTTTTAGTACAAGTGGGAGATTGTTGGGATTATATGCCTTACAAGCCAATTATTTATTCGATATTTTATTAATAAATGTGATATTCATGCATTAGGCTTTACATATTTTTGCATGAGATGCATTATAGTCCTCAAGTTGCATTATAGGTGACTTAAGTACGTAAATGAGATTTACATGAAGGAAAATTGGGCTCACCGGTTTCTTACACCTTGACATTGTTCGCAGTCAATGATAAAAGTTGGGCACTTTTATCTGTAAAACTGTAATACACTTGACCTCTATAAGATAGGATGGTTTGTCTCGACCATTGAGGTAGTTGACTCTAAGGCAATGTGTTAGTGTGTTTGGAGTACATTGAACTGGAGCACCATAAGATCACATCTTACAATATACTGTCATTATTTTGGTGTGTTTCTTATCCTGAAGGATTTAGTGAACTCAAGTTTCAGTAATAATTAATTTGACTTACCAATGTGTGAGATCTTTTTAAGGTCAATACCACGATATCGTGGGTGGCTAATGTTAGAGCTCTGGGAACACAAATACTCAACATGGAATCCACTCTTTATAAGAATTAGAATATCCCCTTGATGCAATTTAATAAGTTTGATCACTGGAACCTGGCCAGGGTATTTTAGTAAAATGTTTACTAAATTATTTTTCTATTATTTATTTAGAAAAATATTTATTTTGAAAAATTCTTTTATAAAAGAAATTCAGTGATCATAAGGATTAAATTGGTTACTCAAGGAATATAAGAAGTAAGCATGCCTTAGGTGGGACAATATTTATTTTTCTTGGGGCTACTTATGGATATTCGGTAGTGGAGGGACTTATATGTAGTTATTTAGTATGACAGGGCCTTGTTGTAATTTTTGAATCCTAGAGTGCAATTACAATATTATTGTGGTGCTTATTGTAATTAATTAGATAGGGTGGAGTTATGAGATAACTCTATCTGTATCTAATTGGAGATAGGATTAGAATCCCTTTTGATCCTTATCTCTAGCCCCATCTATATATGCAATATCTCTCAGGCTGATTGTTCTATTATTTTACACACAAACTTACAGAATACAGAACAATCATATAGGGTTTCCACAAACTTGTGTATTCTGGAGATATAAAGGTGAAGGTTCACTGGTGTTCAAGGCCAAACGAGGAGCAATCTAATTCACTGTTATTCTCGGAGTGTTGACGATTAATTAATCGTCCAAAGGTATAAAATCCCTTTTCAGTATTTCTTGATTTAATGAAATATCACGTGGATATGATCCTGAAAATTTTTAAATCGCTTCCGTTGTGCCTTCAATATGGACCTGGCATGGTTTGTTAAACATATATTAACTATTTTATTTTTCTTTCAGAAAATAGTGTAGAATCAATAGGTAATAAAGTAAATTATATTTTTAGCTGTTCTGATTTTACTTATCTTTTTGAAGAGAATTTATTGCCACAATTGGTGTTGTGATTGTCCTATGAGGCTTTCTTTGGGCTTTAGCTTATTGGGCAAATATTACTTTGGTCGCAACACGGGTTGTCCACATGAAGATTTTTATGTGTCATGGTTACGGGTTGGAGTTGGAAAGTGATTTGGTTCATATCCTTTACTTTCCTTTGTATTCGTCTATCCTAGATCAGTTGGACCTGAATCTAAACCACCAACACCATGCTTCTTTGCTAAGTAATTTTGATAAGCAAGCATGATAGCTTGTTTCTGCTTTGCCCACTGGTTGTTGTAGAAACTAGCGGCTTTCTCGGTCTACGCTCTCAATTTTGCCAGCGCAAGCGCCTATACAGCATCTGCTAATGGTGGAAAGCTGTTGTGTGAAATCTGCGACTGAGATGCGATCGGAGCAGATAAGCCAGTGGCTTGTTGCGTACCAGCTGAAGGGGGAGGCGTCATCAGTTGGTCACCGGACTTTTTCTGATTGGTTGATGAGTCGATGTCGGACGACGAGTACTGTAACTTCTCAGCCGTTGGTGTGTCTATAGAAAGAAAGTGAAGCACAAGGTACAAATCTCTTTCATCGTTAGAATTGAAACCATCATTGTGATACCCCTCGATTCTAAAGCCATGGGTGATCAAGTCCGAGCACAGATCCGAGGGATATCAGACAATCAATATGTAAACAAGCAGAAATTAAAAACTGAATTTAAGGATAAATAAATAATACGCTGAAAGAAATCTAAAATAAGAATCCTCAAACTTGAAATAATAAATTAAGTATAATTTAAAACCGTACAACTCGGGAATCCACCTAGTGGACCCCTAATCCCAAATCCTTGAATAAATTTACAGAATTAAAATCCAACTAACAATAGAAAGGAAATCCTATGTAATCGGAAGAGTGAGTGTGTAATACCCCTAATTTTAAAAAGGATATTCGTGGTATTTAATTTATTATTTAAGTGCATTTTATTTGATTATGTGTCATTATTTTTTTTATTAGGTGCTTAATTGTTTTCTTTTGTGGTGATTTAATTTATTTCTTTTGTGGTGATTTAATTTATTTAAATGATATTTATTTTTAGTTATTTGATTGGAATTACTTGTTAGTGTTTTAATTATTTAAGTGGCATTAATGGTTTAAGTGTAATTGGTTTAGTTATTTGATTGAAATTACTTGTTAGTGTTTTAATTATTTAATTGGCATTAATGGTTTAAGTGTAATTGGTTTAATTATTCTATGTGTGTCTTATTTTATGTGTGTCTTATTTGGGTTTAATTGGGTTTACTAATTATTATTTTATTCAATTAGATTATTTGTTAAGTATTTAATGGTGAATAGGGTAATTAGGTAAATACATCTAACTAGGGTTTTAATTACAGTATAAATTAGGGTTTTATATTATAGCCGTCGTAGGTTTCTACGTTAATTGGATGGGCCGGTTAGGATTGTGAGTTGGACTTAAATGAACCTAGGGTTTAGAAAAACTATATAAGTATAAGGTAGACGTCTGTGTAGGGTTTTTTTTAAACAAAGCACACGTTTTGTGGAAGTGGAGAAGGAAAAACGTAGTTTTTTCCATTCTGCCCAGATTTCATCAAACATCCGGTCCCGCTTCGTCCGTGGTCCGATCGAGCTGAATTTTGGAGGAGAGGTTCATGACTCATTGACGCACAATCTGAACAGTGGAGATCAGAGTTTGACCTCGGGAACAGTGATTCGTACTCGTGAACAGTAACTGGGTCGCACAGGTTTTTTCCATTCTGCCCAGATTTAATCAAACATCCGATCCTGCTTCGTCCGTGGTCCGATCGAGCTGAATTTTGGAAGAGAGGTTCATAACTCAGTGACGCATAATCTGAACGGTGGAGATCAGAGTTTGACATCGGGAATAGTGATTCGTACTCATAAACAGTAACTGGGTCGCACAGGTTTTTTTTTCCATTCTGCCCAGATTTCATCAAACATCCGACCCCGCTTCGTCCGTGGTCCGATCGAGCTGAAATTTGGAGGATAGGTTCATGACTCAGTGTGCACAATCTAAACGGTGGAGATCAAAATTTGAGTTCGGGAATAGTG